AGTCAGTTCTTGTCTTGCAGATTCGATGTCCTCAAGTCCAGTCAGCAAGTTTTCATTAACCTTCCATTGGCTTAAATAAGGGGTAGCGTAGCGTAAGTGAAACGGGCGAGTGATCCAATCCCTCCATTAACCCAATTTCAGAGTGTACGACAAGGGGCAGAAGTTCTTGGGCCAGGAAGATGTATTCAATCCGGCTATAATGCTTGTGGATTGCTGAGTAAAATGTGAAATCCCTCGCCTCAGGGTGCACCCGCCTCCAACAATCTACCAACCCCACTCTCCTCGGGGACTGCCTGGCCACACGGATGCAGCGCTGCGGGAGAGAACACATCCCTCTGGAGGAGTCCTGTTGAGGGACCGGGGCAAATTGATGTCACCTGCAGCCAGGAGTAGGCCCTCTCTGAATTTTTACAGCAGAGATAACATTCTTGCCAGGAAAACGTGTTGGTTGTGGTTCGGGCTATATATACAAGCAGACGTATACATGTGATCAGCTATGGTTCCCTTATGAAAGAGGTATCTGCCCTGTGGATCGGTCTGTGTGTCTTTGCAAATGAACGGTACAGAGTGTGCAAATTGGATTGCTACTCCCGCCCTTCTGGCTTCTACTGGTTGGAAAAATAGCCGAGGGGGAATCGGTGGATTTTAAGAGTAGGGGCGTCACGTCCCCGGACGTGCGTTTCCTGAAGGAACGCCACCGAGGCCCACACTGACCATAGGGTACGGAGCAGTTGAGTGCGCTTCTCTTAAGCCCTGTACATCATTCGTCCAAAACTTCAGGGGAGCCGGCGTGAAACCCAAGCCCATGGTGTTGGTGTGTATAATAGTGGGGCAGTAAGGGAAAAGGGGGAAAAAGAAGAAGAAGAAAAAGGGGGGGGGGTGAAAATGGTAAAGCAATGAAAGATAAGTATAGAGGAAAGAGAAGAGTTCAAAAACTCAAATGACAACTATGACTCTATATCATGTGGGTATAGTTAGTGATGGTGGAACTATAACGGTCCCCAGTCACCTCTAAGGGTCCCGATAGTATTTACAATGAGAGTCAGTTACATGGGGGTCAGTGACAGACCAAAATTCGTCTAGAATAAAGTGTGTGTCTCGACCTCCGTGAGCACCCAGCTCACGCATCTGAGGAAAAGTGCTATATACATTAGTAGGCACGTGCTGGGGACTGAGGGGGTATTGATCGCCCCATGTGTGCTAAGTCCTTGCCATGTAGTCTGGTCCCCTAGGCCCGCCACCAAGTCATGTCAGCCGTGCTGGCAAGGCGTCCGTGTGTGGCTATCGCCCGGTTGCTTACTGTGCGTGTGGGCAAGAGTAAACACTGCGATACAACCATTAGTAAATTAGATTAATAAAATTACATTAATTGAATATTTATTTACAGTGTGTATATAATGAATGCAGAGTGTGTGTTTGTGTAGTGTGTGTATATAATGAATGCAGAGTGTGTGTGTTTGTGTAGTGTGTGTATATAGTGAATGCAGTGTGTGTGTGTGTTTGTGTGTAGTGTGTGTATATAATGAATGTAGAATGTGTGTGTTTGTGTGAATGCAGTGTGTGTGTATATAATGCAGAATGTGTGTGTATATAATGCAGAGTGTGTGTGTGTTTGTGTAGTGTGTGTAAACTGGGTGGGGGGAAGGCATTTTTATTATTCTATTATTTTTATATTAATATTTAATTGTTTAACTTTTTTTTTTTTCCCCCTCCCTGCTTATTACCTGGCCAGTAGGGGGGATATAGCAGTACCTGGTGGTCCAGTGGTATGTACTGAGCAGTGGGGGGGGGCCGGCAGCAAGCTGTTACTTACATTCCCATTAGCTCCCTTCGTCAGCTTGAGTAAATCTCGCGAGTCCTGCAGCTGTCAGAGCGTTGCCACGGGTCTGACGGCCGGCAGGACTCGCAAGATTTACACGGGGAGATGAAGGAAGCTGCTGGGAAGGTAATTAACAACTTGCTGCCGGCTCCCCCCAGGACTGACGGGCTCATTACAAGTTGCCATAATACAGACCCTGACTCGAGTATAAGCCGAGGGGGGCTTTTTCAGCATAAAAAATGTGCTGAAAAACTCGGCTTATACTCGAGTATATATGGTAACTTGTTTTTCCAAAAATATTATTTATATGTCCTTGGAACATGCTATATATTGGGAGAACAATTAGGTGTTTACACATTAGAATATCAGAACACGTCAGGAACATTAAAAAAGGCGTGGAAACACATAGCATATCCTATCATTTTAAAAATTATCATTATCAAAATCCAAAAGACCACTTTTTGTGCACTTAAATGAGTCAAAAGAAACTGAAGGGGGGGCTTGGCTTGGCGGTCCGAGAAGATGCAGCTTAATCCACGAGCTCTCCGCAGGCTCAGCTCATAACCTCGCTAAAACCACTTCTTGACCGCAACGATGGGGAAGACTCACCGTGCCTCACATGCCCAACGACCGGTGGATACCGTTAATGGTACTCCGACCCCTAGGGATATCATCTGCTGTATGGAGAATTTCCAGCTCAAGGAGGAGATCCTCCGCAAAGCGTGCAGCACTGAAAAGGTACTGCTGGAGGGCTCCGAAATCCAACTGTATCCGGATTTGTCCCCGGCCACCCTGGCATACCAGAGAGCCATGAGACCCCTTACCAGGCAGCTGCAAACAGCTAGCATCCGGTACCGATGGTGCTTCCCCACGGGCCCCCAAATCGCAACACCCAAAGGACCCTTCATGGTCACAGGAGAAGAGGACCTGGAGACACTCCAAAGAGAGCTGCACTTGACACCTGAGAAGCTCACTTGGCCGAATCCGTTGAATTTCTATACCGCTGGTCCTAGGCCGCAAGGGCTGGGCCCAAACCCCAAAGAATGCGAAACCGACGCATGCAAACGATACGACTCGCGGGGACGCCTAACTAATCCGCACATCTCTCTTGCCGACCCCCGGAACACAAAACCGGGACCCTTACCGCGAGTAGACTGATCTATCTCCCCACACGCTCCATAACGGTACACCCAGCCAGACACTCCGCATTCCTCAATGGAGAGACACTGACAAGCCGGACTCCAAACCTGCCGCCCCACACTCGAAAGTCGCCACAGCGAGTAATGGGCCTCCACTCTAAAGAACGGCAGCGAGGCACCCCTCAACATGCCCGCACCGCAAGTATACCGGGGGTGGGGAACGTGATGCCCTAATTACCAAACGAACATGGACAGAAGGACTCATATGGTTGGAATAATGATCCATGCTTACAGGCAATAATCAAACTGATGGGATTTGCTGTCTTACTGTTTAAGACTTATTGTTTTATCTAGGTGTCTTTGGTACCGTGCACACCATAATGGGGTAAAGCCTGACCACCTATTTGCTCGAGACCCGGGGGGGCAGGGGGAGGAGGGGCATGGGGGGCGGGTGGGGAGTGGAGGGAGTGGGAAGAAATACTCTGCTCGTGGGCAGAAAACTGTATGGTTTTACTGTTCCACTGTTTATGATTTGTTGTTCAAGCTTGGCCTTTCTGACACTCAGCACACCAAAATGGGGAGACACCAAATAAAAAGGAAGGCCACGTCACGGGGGGGAGGCAGGGGGTGGTAGGGCTTAGGAAAGAGACGATTTTCCATGGGATCCCGCATTTTAACGGGCCCCACATACACGTCATAGGAATGCCCCGCTGACGACTGGGCAGACCCTTCACTAACAGCACCATAAGGTGCGCAGTACCATATGAGGCGCCATATTGAGGGCCGGATGTCCCACCGGCTGCTGTCATGCTATTAATACCAGTGACATTAGCATATAGAGGTTACACACAGGCTACACTCCCAACACAGCGAGCCGTAAGACGGGGAGGTGAGATGTCCTGACTGGGTGGAGCTCCGAGGAATCATAGCAGAACATGACGATCTATTGGGAGCGCTCTAGACCCCCTGGGTTCTGCCCACTCGGGATTTCTTGGACTCCTTCGACTACACTACTGGCTTGAGCGCCTAGATCCAGGTGTGTGGTGTTCCCCTGACCACAGGTGTGGGGGGGATCCACCGCACCCCGACGCTCACTCCCACACATCACCATAAAGGGCGACACTTGACAGTGCCTAGACCCTAGGTCTTGTGAGTACAACCTTTTCCCCCATTCCCTCTGACCTCTCCCACTCCTCGTACCCTTCCCATAACCATAATACCAGACTCCAGGACGGACACGACTACATTCACTCCCCAGGACCATAGCACGTCCAGTGTGTCCAGTATGTCCTTAACACCGGCCCCACTTACAATTTTCTCAATGAATGCCAGGGGACTGAACAAACCGGAAAAAAGATCCGGAGCTCATAGGGATTTTTGGGCTTCTAAAGCCTCCATCTGCCCAATCTGACAAGGACTAGTTAACGGGGCACTCACGGAGGCCTTCCCAATATACAACGGTACACATCAGGGGTGCCCTTTATCCCCATTGCTATTCGTCCTGGCCCTAGAACCCTTCCCAATCACCATCCGGCACCACCCAGACATTAAGGGGGTGAAGACAGGAGAAAAACACCATAAACTAGCCGCTTACGCGGACGACCTCCTGTTTTTCATAACGAACCCAGAAGTCTCCCTCCCTAACCTAGTAGAGGCATTCCGGACCTTTAGAGGGTTGTCGGGCCTGAAGATCAATTTTTCTAAATCATATATTTTAAACATTAGCCTATCCGCACAGAGAACCGTGCAACTCCGCCGGAGTTATGCATTTCAACGGGCCATGGACAAAATCCGATACCTAGGCACCTGGCTGACTGTAAAGGATTCAGAACTTTTTGCGGCAAACTTCACCCCGATGCTGTCCAAATTCCAAATGGAAATGAGGGAATGGCCCTCCCACACATATCCTGGCTAGGCAGAATACAAGTGGTAAAAATGAATTTTTTACCTAGATTGCTATACCTCTTTCAGGCCCTACCTATCGTGATCCCTACCCCGTTCTTTACCACACTTCGAAGGGCACTGGGAGAGTTTGTATGGGACGGGAGGAGACCCAGACTGAAATACGCACTACTCACACAACCCAAGGACAAAGGCGGCTTAGCCTTGCCGGACTTTGCGCTATACCATAGAGTGTGCCACCTACAGCGCATAATGGAGTGGTCCAAGACGGGGATTAGCAAGCTTTGGAAGAAAGTGGAGGAGGGGGAAGCAGGAGTCCCCGCCGCCCTTCTCCTGTTGCTCCCCGCGAGGGTGGACAGTGGAGAGAAACACTACTCCACATACACAAAAGCGACACTGAAGATCTGGCGCAGTAGCATAGGCAGATACGCGCTGTCCACATACCCATCTCCACTGCTTCCCCTCACACACAACACAGACTTCCTGCCGGGCATGGACCCGAGAGCACTCCTTGCCTTACTGACAGAACCATTGCCAAGGCTGAGTCATGTGTGCTCCAGACGGGGACTAAGGGACCTGACCGATCTATGCGGGGAGCCAGACCAATCCTTTTAAACTCATTTTAGATATGAACAGTTGCGCAGTTATGTAAAGACCTTACCGCAAACAGTAGCCCTAAAAAGGGAACTCACTATTTTTGAAAACATTTGCGCAGACCCCGACCCGCTACCACATGGCGTGTCACACCTATATTCCCTGCTGCAAGCACACACACCTACGGCAACACCAAACTTTATGGGGAAATCGGAGGAGGCCCTAAATCGGACATTTAGTAAAGCGAAGTGGGAAAAGATCTGTGATGTCACACATCGCTGCTCAGTTTTTAGCAAGAGCCAGGAGACGGCATACAAATTGCTCTCGCAATGGTATCGCACACCCGATACAATACACCACATACACGCTAAACAGACTATACCACAATTCTGGAAGAAAAATGAGACCTCATCTATGCTTAAATGGTTCACCCAAATGGAAGAGCTACGAGCGATAGAAGAGCTCACTATGCTCGCAGCTGGACCGCAACATCAGACATAACTAGACATTTGGACACACTGGATACTGACAATGACAAAACCCGACTTTTTGACAATGATACATAACCAACTAATATAAGGGACACAGGTCGGACTACTACATAGACGGACGATAAATCCTCTCCCTCCTTCCTTGCCTGAACCTACTCCCCTACCCTCGACCCACTCTACACACGATACTCGGGGGGACGCTGATCCCTGAGCAGAGGCACAGAGGTGAAACATAACCTGAGAGCAGACACCCTTATACTCATAACCCCCCGTAAATGGGGACAAATACCCACACCTACACGCTGGGCAGCCCACAACTGAAGCCATGCACTGATAGGCTCCAAACAAAATACAGAACCACAGAAGCATAAGAAACACTCCACTCGCACACACAGATAGCTTAAACCCAATCGCCCAAATAGCATGGGAGCTGAGGGGGTGCAGGAGACAGGCAACTATGGGGTGGACTGCCCATGCGACCACAAGGCGCACGACAGAACTGCAGAACACGAGACATAACCGCCTAAGAATAATGTAAGGGACCAGTGAGTACACATGTGTAATAAGGGCCAATGAACCCGAGTGCTTAATGTTAACGTTATTGCTATTATAAGGGACCCGCGAGTCCAACTCTATGGTGGGCCTGCGTGCCCAAACTATAAATGTTCAACATGCACAATTGCCACGACATAGACCTGCGAGTCTATATGCTTTCCGCTTTTCCTTCCAAGTTGAAAAACAAATAAAATACATTTACAAAAAAAAAAAAAGAAACTGAAGGGGAGGAGATTTTACGAAAAAAATGGTATTGAAAAAATGAGATTTATTTTCAATTTTAATACACTAGCCCCCCAGGGTTAAAATTTAGATGTTATTTTTTAACTTAACAAAATATTTATCAGCCTCTTTTTATATTAAGTAAACATTATGATTAATGTAGGAACAGTTCGCTTTATGTTAGTACAAGCTAGTTCAGTTAGATTATGCAATAAGTAAGCGTTTTACAACATGTACAACTGCTGCGCCTCAACTGTGGGAACATAAAAATGCTAAACATAAAACAGGCTTGTTAAGGCTAGAGTATTCAACATCTGGTAGTCTGCGTAAAAGTGTATACTTGCTGTATCAACGTTAGGTTAAGTAGAGTATGAGGCTTTACATATGTAAGCTATAGTCGTCAGACAGATAGCAAGCAGATGAGACATGCAGTGTACTCTCTCTTAGTGTAAGTGCGTATAGGTGAGAACTGTATATAATGCAACAGAGAGAGGGGTTGAGTGATCCTCAAATATAGTAAAATCTTTTAATTGTGTGCTGCTGCTAGCTCTGCCCCTGATCTGCCTGCTTGGCTGATATCATCCAAGTGGCTATTAAAAAAGACTGGGCATACCCATATTTAATACCCTGGGTTCTCAACTTTTGCAAATGGTATGCCATCATGAGGGTAATTCTCATTCCTGGGCTACCATACGGTCTCAAAGGCAACATTACTAATCTAGCAAATTTCAATGTGTATAAACAGAAAAATGGAACGTGCTATATTTGAACCTGTAACTTTCCAAAACACCATAAAGCCTGGGGGATACTGTTGAACTCGTGAGACTTTGCTGAATAAAATATGTATTTTATTGCAGTAAAAGCTAACAGTATTATGACATTCACAGTTAAAATGCCATTCAAAACAAGAAAAAATGAGAAAATCTTAATTTCTCACACTTTTTTAGATTTTATTCATTATAAATTGTTATATATATGAATAGTTGATGTGAAATGAAAGCCCTGTTTCTCATGAACAATATTATATATAATAAGTGTGCGTGCACTTAGTATAAAAGAGGTGAATTGGGGGGGTGGGGCCTGGCAGCCAAGATAGCAGGATGTGTTTCAGCTCAGCTCCTGTAAAACAGGGCTGAAAATCAGCTAATCTGACCTTCTAACACACAGAAAATGACCTGGCAAGGGCAAGATTCTGCCACCAAGTAGCACGGAACTGTAAGCACTCATGCAGCCAGTTGCCCCAACACAGTATCCAGCCGTCCAGCCTCGAGGCCTAACACTGATGGCGACCTGAGGACCGGGGGAGGCGGCCGATCCCCTGGCCCGAGACGCTCAGCAACACCTGGAGACTCCGGAGCCCCGTCACCCCCCCCTGGACCGGAGGGGGTTATCCCGGTCCCCACTGGGGAAAGTCAACCCCCGGCAAACACGACATCTCCCACACCCAAGGACCGCATGGCGAGCACAAGATGGCCGCCGAACCGCAGCTTCGACAAACCACAGAGGGAGCGGACATTCAGTCCTGGCGGGAAGACTTTGAAGCCCGGTTTGAACGCATATGCCGAGCATTCTGGCACCACATCGAAAGCCAACACCCACACGGGCAGCTGACCCAGAGAAAAGATGCACCGGACCGCGAACCTGCAACCGGCACTGGGCATGGAGCTCGCCGGGCGGCACAGCCAACAAGCCGTCCAAGCACTCGGGGAATCCCCCGACGCATCAAGCGTCCACAGACCTGTGACCCAGCCAAACCAAAACGGAAAGCTACCAGACAAGCGGCAAGGAACCCACGGGAGACCTGGGCCTGGGAGAATGGGAACCCCCAGCTCACCCACCACGAGCCACATGCAAGGAGCCTGGTTCAACACACAGCCCTTCCTGGGGATGAATAGCACTACCTCACCGACCATGCAGCCTAACATGCTCCGATGGCCCATACGTGGTATCGGATAAACGGACAGCACGTAATACACACCAGCTCTCTTACAGAGACATTAAACTCACTGCTCCTTTAGAGCTTTCATGGTGCAATTAGTACAAAGTGGTCATATAGCAGACTCAATGTTAACTACAGCCTAATACCTTTGCTAACCAATGTAAGATTATTCATAGCATCATCATGAGCCAAGTTATTAGTTTATCTTTCCTGTTCATCCTAATGCTTAAATTATGTAAACCAGCTACAGTATAGATAACACTCTTGCTTGCTAGAAAAGTTTTATTTACTTTACTTGCTGACCATAAACATGCTAGGTCATGTCATAATCGTTGACTTTTTTTTTTTTTTTTTAATTCTTTATTTTTTTTGTGCAAAAGTTTGACAGACAGGCTTGCCATG